ACCCAGTACGCAGAAACACGCTCCGCACTATGGGCGTGTGTATGAGTCATAAGAGTATCAGTCAAGTCCCCTTATTCTAGTAGACGAGAGAAGCTACCTATCTTCTGATCTATCAGTTCCGTCTCAGGGACAATTAAAGGCAGATAGCCTTTTCTCAGGCTTGCATGAGAATTTTAAAACAAACAAACAAAAAACTACCACGATTTTACACGGATGTTATTTTATTAGAATAAGGAACCGTCAACAAATTTCAATATTTTTATCAACTTCAGTGCTAGAAATAACATTATGGTTATAGTTGGTAATGCTATCTCGTATTTGTTTATTTTTTATTATTAGATGAACTAAGACTGACTGACGGCTTTGGTCTTGACTTGTTGCTAAAGTATACTGTAGGGTTTCACTTACCAACATTCATGGAATTAAATTCTACTTGTTAGTTTCTTTAGCAAAAGTATCAACGTTTAACTTTCAAGGCCAAAAAAATAAATAAATATATAAAGTTTACAGGTACAGCAGACAATTATAGCTTTCACGGCCGTCACTAACAGGATTTTCAGCTAACAATAGGAGTCATTGTTGGGGAAAAAGTATTGTTTTCTAAGATCCTCTCATTTACGTCATCGTATAATTAGTACCAATATATATATGAAGTGTTTTCTGAAAAGTGTGTGGGATTTCTTGAAAACTGGTTTTTCTGTCTCTAAAATTATTACAGTACGATACCGATAGATACGTCGAGGCGTGTTTTTGTGTGTGTGTGGAAATTTTGTTGACTGTAACTCGAGTGAGTTCGTTTCAACTGCACAAAAATTAGTCCTAAAAATGAAAACAGCCAGTTTTGTTGGTAAATAATGATTTCCCACTCGTACCACTTTACAGTAGTGTGTTGCCTGTCAGTCAGTCAGTAGACACTAAAATGACGTAACATAAGGAATATTTAATGTTGCAATTTGTACAGTCGTGACGTCAGTAAAACGTGTGTATGCCATGAATCACGATAAGAATCATGCACTCTGTCAGTTACAACACAGCATGACATATGGACTTGGAAAGCAAGAAACAAAAATATTTGTTAGTCTTAATTTGGGTTTTATTTACTCTTGAAACAGAACACCTTCGGGGACCCTGTGGAAGTACAGACTGATTAGAATTTTAGCTTACCAAAAATGTGTCGGGGATAAACATTACTGACTTTATATAGTACAAACGGGATGTTTCCTGTCTCCAATTCCAGAGAAGTTGGAAACCATTTAAAGCATTTAGCACCTGAAGGGATTTTTGAAAATCCCAATACTTCTAAAGTTGGTAACAAGTACACATACAACTTATGTTTTACCAAAGAGATGACGTCACAATCATATCTAGTACGTAGTCTATAGTGTTGCTAGGTGACCCACCTTTTAATGTTTTAATCACTGAAGTATTTGTTACAGGTGTAATCTCTAACGTTGCTAGTTCACCATTGCTAGGTGACCCACCTTTCAATGTTTTAATCATTGAAGTATTTGTTACAGGAGTAATCTCTAACGTTGCTAGGTCACCATTGCTAGGTGACCCACCTTTCAATGTTTCAATCACTGAAGTATTTGTTACAGGTGTAATCTCTAATGAAAATTTGTACTGCCTCGTTAGATACGTGAATAGCATTCTACAGTGATCAAATCATCGTGTACGTAAAAATAACGTTCAAAATTATGATGAAAGGCGTTAAGATGTTCATAAAACAAATGAAGTAGAATTAAGAACACCTTCGCTAAAATCCCCCTGAAGTTAATCATTTCTAACAAACACTGCGATAAATATAACATAAAACAAGAACAACAAAAAACCTGTATCTTGAACGCTTTCGAAACATTCCATACTAACCTCCGTTGAAGAAAGGTCCACCTAGGGTTATAGGGTGTCTTTTTTTTTGTCTTAGACTGATTTTTTTAAACCCACGTGTTTTCCTGACATAAGTATGATGTAATAATAATTCTCCACCAAGGACCGAATAAAATATGTTTCTGTTTATTTGTCTTTATAGGACTTTACCGTCAATCTTAGAGAGAGTGGGTGGGTGAAAATATTTCAGGGTATAGCCAGGTGTTTAGAGAGAGTACGTGGGTGAAAATATTTCAGGGTATAGCCAGGTGTTTAGAGAGAGTGGGTGGGTGAAAATATTTCAGGGTATAGCCAGGTGTTTAAAGCGAGTGGGTGGGTGAAAATATTTCAGGGTATAGCCAGGTGTTTAGAGAGAATGGGTGGGTGGGCGTGGCTTAGGGATTAGTGTACCAAACTGTGAGCCTAGAGATCCATGGTTCGCGTCTCCTTTCCGTAAAACCGCACTTCATACCTTAGTTCCGTTGTATGATTGACAATCAAATTCCAATGTTCGATTAGGGTAGCCCAAGATCTGGCGGAGAGTGCTGCCTGCCCTCTAGTTTAACAGCTCAGAATTAGAGACGGTTAGCGCAGATAGCCCTTTGTGTGGTTGCGAGAATTTCTAAAACAAATAATCAAATTGTGCTATCTGTTGAACTAAACCTCCCCCCCCCCCACACACACAGGTGGCTTTGCTGGGAACGCCCCCCCCCCCGGGGCCTAGATTAATTAAACCTACCACACGAGAATGTCAAGAATTTTCGATGACATATTTATTTTTCTGATGTTTAAAACATACGTTCTGTCGTGTATGATTAGCTAATGATTTTAAAAACACTAAATAATTTATCCGATCACCAAGAAATGATTAATTCCAGTCCTAGTGACCCCCTTTCTTCACACACACACACCCTTCTTCCTCCTGCCCCATCCCTTCCCACATGGCTTCCTCGAAGTTACCTAACTCAACTCGAGTTGACCAGTTCTTAGTACTTCACTTACACCCTGTTGTCGAGAGTATTTCTCAGCTTTATCATTAGTTATTTGGATCACTCCGATGATTTAAATATCTCTCTTCGTATGTTCAACACAAACGTGTTAGGCTAGGCCACGTCTTTGCTGTAATAATGGCGTCTGACTGAGGGTGACTAGTTGAGGAGAAACAGTCATCCGATATGTCACGTAGTCCGTGACGTAAGAGGCGTGGACGCGAGCTTAGGCGGAAGCACCTCACCCGCCCCGATTACACCTGTCTAAAGTTGGAAATGTTTATTATTTTGTTGTGGGAAGCTAATGACGAACCTCGTTACACAATAAGCGTCAATGTCGAAGTGATGATTGTAATAATTAAGGTGTTTCGTTTTTGTTTTTCAAAAGCGCGATTTGAGTTGAAAATATCTTTCAGGAGTTGCTTGTAGGGTGTGAAAATACAATAATTTCCATTACTGGATATCAGTTAAGGAAGCTGCCTCTCGTGGAGGGGGGGGGGGGACTTGAAAAGTTGTGTTGAAGGTTAAAAGTCACATTAGGTTGTTAAAATTTTCCGTAGAAGTGGTTTGTTTGGTTGTTTTCCGATATTCACGAGAAGCTATACAAAGGGTTATCTCGACAGTCGCCTCTTAGCATTAAACCGATAGGCTAGGCAGTTAATCAACAACACCCATCACCAACGTTTTGGCTAAAATTATTTAACGGAATAGTTTAATTTTACTGTCACCTTTATAACGCACACATTGCCCCAAAGTGCGAATATCTTGTTTTATATAATGGGACGCGAACAATGGACTCGTAGATTCATAGTCTGGCACACTGACTACTGGGCTATGCTCGGCTCTTCGTAAAAATGTTGATGTAATGTACGTATAGAGGTTAATAGTAGATACTGACTTTTACATC